CTTCTTGGTTGTGAGTTTGGGGCTAGCGAGCGTTGAACGCTCACTTCCTACTGTCTGGACAGTTCAGAAAGTAAAATTCAGCTTAGACGTGGGTCATGAAAGCCACTGCAGCCAGGGCTGTGCGCTGGCCGTGTGTGCACTTACAACAGCCCGGGCGGCCTAGGAGGGAACCAAATTCTGATGGGAATTGTCCTATAAGTTTAGATCTACATTCTAGAGACCCCCCCACCAGGCAATCAGTACGCACTGGCACAAAGCCTTACCTTCCTGTGCCCTTCTTTGGCAAGCTGTCGTTGCCTGGCAGAACTTATTTTTAGTGGTGGTCATTTGTAGCCATGTGAAAACCTTTCCCACGGCTGATTTTGGATAAGCGGCTCATCTGTTTTCTTCTGTTTCTGAAGGCCAGCCTCATGTTTTCAGCTGGAAATCGGGAATTCAGAGTAATATTTGTTGACCTCTCACTCTGAAGCTCACCAATTAAAATAAGAGGCAAAATGAAGCACCCACCCTTCCCCCAGGCCGATTGTAAGAGTTCAGGCTTTGAGAGCTATTTAGGTAGCCAGCAAAGAAACCAAGTCTTTAGGGGACTTGGATTGTGGGCTTTTAAGAAAGTTTTTTTTAAAGTGTGTATAGTGTGTGTTGGAGCAGGGGGAGCTCATGTGTCTTTGAAGAGATTTCTCTCCCCTCAAGTTCACCCCAACTCGACTCAGTCATGCTTGGTATTCCTGACACTGAACACGCTGCCTTCCAGAACTGGCCCCTGCCCTGCGCTCTCTTCCAGGGAGTACAGGTGTACACTCAGGTGCAGGGTAGCATGCAGTCCTTTGTCCTACACCAGCCACAGTGTGTGTGGCTGGGCCTCCTGCTAAGCGCCTGCCCTAACCCCTGGACAGCATTTTTTTTTTTTTTAAATGACAGGAGCCAAGTGACTTAACTTTGGATCCCTGCCAACTTGGTCTGGCCTGTGGGAGACTTCGAAGCTTGCCAGTTCATTCTCTTTCATGCTGGGCACCGAGATTCCCGAGTGTTTTGGTTGTTGGCTCTACATGTATGCTCTTAGAGCAGTGTTGGGAAGGTGTACTTGATTTCTACAGAACTTGAACCACAGATAGAAACGAAGACAACAGCCATCGATGATAGCAGTTTTCCTCGGTGAGCCACCTAATGTTGCTACACTTTCCTCTCTTAGAGCAGCTTCAAGAAAGCAATGGCCATTTGCTTTCCGAGACCAAAGATCCTGGTGACCTGCACGGAGCACAGAGACTGCAGAATGCTGGAGCAGACTGGGGCAATGCCAGAGAGTATGTTCCTGCTGGAAAGATTCCAGACACACACTCCAGGGCCAGCCCAGAAGTGTCAAGGAACCAAAGCCCGGAAGTTCATGGAGGAGGACGGAGACCCTGCAAAGGACAAGAAACAGCTGGGGGCGTGGTGGAGAAACTGCCCTCCTGCAGCCTGCTCGGGGACATAGCTAAAGCAGCCGGCCTTGCGCAGGCCAGTCAGGACCCAGCAGGCCACGAGGACTGGGAAGTGGTGTCTCGGCACTCATCTTGGGGGGATGTTGGTTTGGGTGGCAGTCTTGAGGGCCTAAGGCAGGGGATGGATGATGGCAGAGGCACTCTTGTGGGAGGAAGCGGCTGGGGAGCAGATGGGAAGGCGGTGTCTCTGGAGCCTCAGGAGGTCAGCATCCAGTTCCAGGTGCACTACACCACGAGCACCGATGTGCAGTTCATTGCGGTAACTGGAGACCATGAGAATCTTGGGGGATGGACCACGTACATCCCTCTCCACTACTGTAAGGACGGGCTGTGGTCTCATTCCGTCTTCCTGCCTGCAGACACGGTGGTGGAATGGAAGTTTGTGTTGGTGGAGAACAGGGAGGTCACTCGCTGGGAAGAATGCAGCAACAGACTCCTGCAGACTGGCCACGAGGATAAAGTGGTTCACGGGTGGTGGGGCATCCACTGACTCCCTCTGCAAAGCGTCCGCGAGGCAGCCACAGAACGTGGAAGAGGCTGAGGCTGTAGAGCACACTACGTAATTTAAAGGCAGTGTGATTCCATTTGTAGCCATAAGAGCTGCTAGTGTGGCTTTTGTCCAAAATGTAGGAAGACGTATGCATGCAGATAGTGAGTGCTTGCTGTGAGCCGGGACTTTCCCCTTGTTGCCTTGACTGGTTTGTGCTGACACATCATTACTTGAGGGATTGCTCGTCCCTGGGTAGTTGGTTTGGCTAAGACTGAGGTATGGACTCTGGGCAAGGAGAAACTACCCAGCTGCACACGTACAAGACAGAGCCCGTAGGAGCTCTTAGAACAGGGAGGCGTCAGCAAGCCTCATCGAATCCAGCTAAGCAACGATGTTTACATTAATGATGACACCGTGTGGAACTGTGACCAGTCAGGACCTGAGTGACGCTGGAAGACTCCCCATCAGTTTTTGTTCCATGTTAAGTGCCGAGGGCGGGTGTGGAGTCAGCAGGCATGTCTTTGTCTTGACGCTTTAAAGTCTGAGCTAGTCATCTAGGAAGTGGAGCATGAGGGTTGGGTGTGAGGCGGTGAGGTGGCCTGAAGGGGACACATTACTTCTTTGAGGACTGGGGGTTAGAGGTCGAGTCTGGCTCCAGCAAAGGGTGCGTGCATCCTTTACCCACAGTGCCCTTTCAGACCATCTCTGTTCGACTTCCCCGCCCTGGTCCTACCAGGTCTCACAGGTGGGCCGCCCTAGAGAGGGTTCCCCCATCACCTCTTCACTCGTCTCCTCATCAGTGAGGAAAGTCTACACAGGACCATGATACAGAAGAATAGCCTTGCTCTGAGAAGAAATAATTACTAAGCTTTAAGTTATAACTGGATAATAAATCCTGAGTTGTAATATCCTTATTAAATGTCTGAATTATTTGTTTCAATGTTAGCACCATAACCTAGAAATAAAATAAGGGTCTGATATTTTACATACAGAGAAAAGCAAACATCAATTGTTACAGCAGATGAAATTTGGAGTCTGTTTTCCTTTTTGGAGAAAGTTCTCAATATTTTTTTAAAACTTTGCTTAGAAGGGAATTCAGCATGCTGGTATTTAAAGATGAAATGTTTTTGAGGCAGGGTTGCTTATAGCCCAGGCTTACCAAAAAATTCACTATGTAGCCAAGGATGCCCTTGAAACTGTCCTCCTGCCTCCACGTCTCGGGTGCTGGGATTGCAGACACATGCCACCACAGCCAGTTTTGTGCAGTGCCAGGCAAATCATTCTATGCTGAGCTACATCCCAGTTCTTTGTTATCACTTTGAGACAGGATAGCCCGAACTGGCCTGGAACTTCATCTGTAGCTAAGGATGACCTTCAACCCCTGATGTCCCCACTTCTACCTTCCAAGTGCTCGGATAAAATTGTTTTTATGTGTTTAAACAGAACGATATCTATTGGAAGAACAGTATTCAATTCTGGCTAAGACGGTTTGCTGACAAAAACACAGGTTCACTGAAAGCAGCATCAGTCAGTGCTTAGCAGGCTGTTTGCACGCTTTGGGCTCCCAGCTCTTTGGGATAAAATTCAGACATTCTGCTATGTATCTCATAGTGAGGTCTGCAGAAGGCACTGGCCATTGCTTCACAATGTTCAAGTATACCCCTAAGAAGTAAAGCAATTTAAACAAAAGTCTCTAGAATTCCTGATGAAATAAAAGTTCATCTTTTTTTTTAAGATTTATTAATTTATTATGTATACAGTGTTCTGTCTGCATGTGTCCCTGCAGGCCAGAAGAGGGCACCAGATCTCGGTTGTGAGCCACTATGTGGTTGCTGGGAATTGAACTCAGGACCTCTGGAAGAGCAGTCAGTGCTCTTAACCACTGAGCCATCTCTCCAGCCCTAAAAGTTCATCTTTCATTGAAGCCAACTGACTTAGGAAACAGATTATGCGATGTATATATACACACATTATTAATAATTAAATATACATCGATTTTGCCATCCTTTGAAGTTGGATGTGCTTAGAGTGCTAGCTGTCATTGCGAGAGCATGTCACTGACTGCTGGGTCAGGGCTCCTGCTGGCACCAGGGAAGAAGGTAGGAAACCCCCCCACACACACACACACACTTGCCCTTCTCTCCATCTGCAGTAGCTCACCTGGGCAGCAGCTGCCCTCCTTGTAGAGCCCAGACCCCCTTCTGCCCTGTGGTACCACCATCCTAACGGCCCTCTCCATCTTCTGCATCAGGCCTGTGGGGGGGAAATAACTTGAGGGACACCCACACATGCAGTATTAACACCTGGACCTGAAGTAGCACACGGTTCTCTGGTCATGTTCCTTTCCACCTGTGAGAACTGGTCAGGCGATCACCCCCATAGGTGAGGGACACGGGGCTGCAACACGGCCTCCAGCCAGGCAGCTGTGTTCCATGACACCTGTGTACCCGGGAGTGGAAGACGACATTCTGTGGACAGCTGGCCCCTGCCACATTGTCTCTCATGTTTTGGCCCCAGCGAAACACGTGACTTACGCGTCTGTTGTCCATGTCCCATTATATTCGGTTTGCATTCAAATATGCCCCAGTTTATTAAAATTTCATGAAGTTCAATCTAGAACTTACCTATTCATTTGTTAAAGAGTAACCAAGTATTGTCTTTCTTTAGTTTTATGTAAGGAGAGAGATTTCTAAAAGTTTTGTTGATTACTGATATCGACAGAACAGTGAATTCAAGGTCACCCAAGAAGGCTGGTGTTTGTCCAGCACGATGGAGTTTGTCCTGGTCTTGGCACTGCGCCCCTTTACACCATATGAACACTCTTTTTTTTTCCTCTTCAGGAATTTGTTTAAACTGAAAAAAAAAAATGGCTCTACTATCTCAGAACCAGTAAAATAATTTAAAACAATTATACCAAAGTGCTAGAATTAGCATAAATTAATACATTATAATATATGAATACTCTCAAATCTAGCTGGTAGTGTTCAAAGTTTTACTGTGAGAGCATTCAAGAAGTTTATTTCAAAATAGAGTTTACAGGACAGGGTATCTTTTATTAAATTTTCACATAAAAAGAAAAAGTCCACAGGGCACTAATTATAAGTAACATCACAATTAATCGGGTGTTAGCCCTCTGTAGAGAGCGGGCAAGCAATGTGTCATTTTAGTAACATTTTTTCCTGGTCTTTCACTTTCTGAATTCTCTTTTCTTGATTTCTGATCATTGAAGACATTGCTGAAAATATCAATAAAACACAGTTAGATTGGAGAGTCGTCGCTGGTTTTAAGCCCCTCCACACTTGTCTTAAAGGATGAGCCTTTAGCATGCAGACCAGCCTCACTCGGAGCCCAGGGGTGTGTAAGTAAGACTTCAGTGCACTGCACTTTTGTAAAGGCCGCCCTGACGGCAAGCTTACAGCCTCCCTAAGCAGGAGGAGACAGAAGAAGCAGAATGCCAGCGCCTCCAGAGGGGAGCAGAGGAAAGCCTCCTGACCTCCCACCTCGGGGGTCAGCAGTCATTACTGTAAATAGTGTGGGAGATTTCTCTTGTGGAAACGTGTGTATGGTTTTGGCTTTTGGTTGTGCTGAGATTGAAGCCACGGTCTTGCACATGCTAGGTAATACCTTAACAACAAGCTGTCCCTACAGCCCTATACTTTAAATGTTGCTAAATTCTGCCCAAATCCTCCAAACTATTTGTTCAGAACTCAAGAGCCGCCCTACTGGTCACTAGTCCAAGGTACTGTTTCTGTTAAACAAATGCCAGCATCTCCCGACTAGATGATTCTAGAAGGACATGAGTAGGATGACCTCAGAAATATAAATCAAAGTGTGGGGGAAAGGTGGGACAAAAAAGCTCCCCCCCAAACCTACATTCCTTTAAAAAAACGCACAATAATACGGGCAGCACCAACTGTATTTGGTAGGTTTTTTAAAAAGACACAAAGTTGGGTGAGTGGGGAGGGAAGGGTGGTCCCGGTAGGGAAAGGAATGAGGTCAAAATAAACTGTATGAAATTCTTGAACTATGTTTTTAAAAAGACTCAATAATCTAAACAGAAATGTGTTCGTGCTGTTTAGGGGACCTGGGATTTCACTCCACAGCGATGTGAGTTGACTCGGTGTGTTAGGAATTGCGGGGATCAAGTCCCAGCTCTACTGTTCACTAGGAGACACAGGGCTGACTGTGTTGTCTTGTGCTCTCATTGTTATGACAACAATAACAGCTCCCACACTCCGTGCCATCATGAAGGCCCCATGAGGACAAGAGCAGCACTGAATTTAGGGGCTGCACACAGGTGCAAGCAGAGCCCATTATTATTACTATGCTTACATTTGTTGTATGAATGTCTGCTGTTACAAAATATTTAGTGCGTGTGTGTGTGCGCGTGCGTGTGTATGTATGTGTATATATATCTTTTTGTGAATCCCCCCCCCCCCTAGTTCTGAGGACTGAACCCAGGGCTTTTGTTAGCTAGGCAAGCGCTCTATCACTGAGCTAAACCCCCAGGCCTGAGACCTCTCTGTACGGTACCTTGGTTCTTCAGCTGTAAATCTTCTACCAGGGTTTGCAAACTTTCCAGTCTGTTCTGCAGTTTTCGGCAAGTTTTTCCTGTTGTTTCTAGTGACGGAGACTGTGAATCTATTAGAAAATTGCTTAGATGTGATATTAAAAGTCTATTCAATATTGCTTTTAGAAATCTTCAAATTATGTGTTAAACAACTTTTCCTAAGAAAATATTGAAACGTTATTTGAAAATGAAAAAATTCCCATTTAAACACAGCAACACTAGCTTATTTGGTTTTGTTTAAAATCAATTCGATTTACTATTTTTCAACTCCATAGTGTTAAACAGGACCCACGAGAAGAATACTTCAAGTTAGTGACACTTTGTCCAGTGGTCATTTTCACACAAACCTGAGGAGTTCCTAACTGGGGCGTGCGGCGCAGGATCTAATTCAGACCCTGGCCCACTTTCCCATGTAGGGCTGTCACCTGAGTGGAGGCTGGCACAGCATGGCGACCCTAGGACGTGTGGCGGTAACTGATGAGGCCCGAGAGGCATGAAAGCTGTCTTTAGTAAGTGTGTAAGTTCTGTCCATTTCTCAAAGTACTTAGTTAGCAAATGGAAGAGGTGAATTTTGATCTTAGCCCCCGACTAGATGAATAATTTTGAAAACATTTTTGCTTACTTTTTATTACCAAATACCCTTTTTGTGTAATTATAGTATTAAAAATAATTATCTAAAAGGTTTTCAATTTAAGAGGATGAGGAACAGCCTCTTAGAAATATTTGAACAGCAATAGTACACAACATGATGCTTGGCGAGGATCTGAAATGGGGGAAGATGTCCTATCACTGCGTGGCCTTTCAGGTACTGCCCCTCGGCCCGGGATCACTCTGAACGGGTCAGTTAGTTGGTTTTTGCACTTGCTTGTGGTCTGTTTGCTGCCTTTGAGGCAGGGCCTCGCTATGTGGCCTTGGATGGCTCAGAATTCACCATGTGGACCCGGCTTGGACTCTGGGGCCTCCTTTCTGTGTCTCCTGAATGACAGATGACACAAAGAGCCTGGGAACAAAAGACCGAGGACACAACGCACACAATAAACAATAGAGTGTACTCAGATGTGACCAGGTCTTCATGTTTGTAGTGGTTTTAGACTCTAGAATTAGGAGTGGCATAGACTATGAAAAGGCTCGGAAACGCTTTGACAGAGAGCCAGCACCTTGTGTGACTTATGCCCCATCGATGAGAGTGAGTCCAGAGTGCTGGGCTGGGTTTGGTCACTGCTGTGTAGAATGAGAAACACTTCAAGTCCAATTCAATATACTTATCGGAAATTCAATATTCTAAGGCCCTTACTACAAATCAAATTTTTTTCATTTATAAAACAAAAACTGAACTTAAAAAGTTTGATGAGATTTTTTTACAAGTTGTATAATATACATTTACAGTTAAAAAGGTGTTGGCTGAAGGACAGCCATGTTTTAACTAAGCAAGAGTGGAAGGTCTCAGTACTTAGATACAAAGTATTCTAAAAAAACAATCAGAAAATAAAGTTCACTGTTGATGCCAGACAAGAGGAGAAAGGCATTTATGCACACAGTCTCAGCTTCTGTTGTCCTGATGCATAAGCAATCGCTGTCTCATTTAAAGACCACACACTTAGAGCGTCAGCTGAGGGCTGTGTCTGAGAAGACTGTGCAGAATCCTGCAATCCCCTGCTGTAAGAAATCAACCCCGCCAGCCACGTCAGGCCATTCTTACCTTTTGTAGAGTTGGGTGAGTGAATAGTTTTGGTGGAGCGATACTGAGATGTGGAGCCTACTGACTCCTCGGCAGAACTAGTCAGGAGGGAGTGCACTGGAGACTTCTTAGGAGAAGAATTGAATGACCGGGAGGCTGAAATCTTCACAGATGGACTTGCTAAAATGGTGGAAGGACAAGGGTAAAAGATAAAATTAGCTAAAAATAGCATAGTGCGCTTATAAAAAACATCAAGCCTTTTCCAAGCAGAAATAGAACTTCTAACAGTTACGAGTGGGTTTAGTTTTGACACTGCTGTTACCTGGAGACATCAGTGTCGAGCATCTTCACCCCTGGCTCGCTCTCCAGCAAGCCTCCATGCCTCAGCCTCACACTGAGGTAGAATCACTGCCCCCTCTTGTTGAAGTGTCAAGATTCTTAGGCTAAGCAACTCTTTCCCCCTGATATTAGCTTGCAGATGGACTTGTAGGACTACCCAGCCTCTAGTCATCTGGAGAACCCTGGTCTTAGGAATGTGTAGGACCCTGAGATCCAGAGTTCTTCATGCAGATCAGATCCACTGCTTATTTGATCCAGCTGGTCTGGGATTGTCAACACCTCAGCTGTCTACAATGAAGTCTGTCTGGAAGAATGTAACCTCAATCCGAGTCTCACCCCAGGTGTCAAATCTCCAGATGACGTGGCAGAAAACATGCAAAGAGCAGATCCCTGGTAAACAGGGAGACAGAGAGTGGAGGTGACAGGCAGGGACTTCCACAGACCCCAACCCTGTGACTTCAGACACCAGATGGGTTCTACTCGTAGAAAGAAAATGGATGCATGGTTAAGAACTGCTGAAACTTATAGCTACCAGACAAGCGGGGAAAGGCATATCCCATTTAAATGTGCATCAGTTAAATTTACAGCTGACTTCATAGGCACAGCAGAAACCCTAACTGGGGGGAATTACCCACGTTAAAAATGTGGTGAAAAGCCGGGTGGTGGTGGTGCATATCTTTAATCCCAGGCAGATCTCTGAGTTCGAGGACAGCCTGATCTACAGAATGAGTTCCAGGACAGCCAGGGCTACAGAGTGAGATTCTGTTGCCAACAAACAGACAAAACAAAACAAATAAACAAAGCCTGTCCTGTTTGACTTCTGTCAGACTGACACATGCTAGAGTCACCTGAAAGGAAGGAACCACAGCTGAGAAAGTGCTTCCATCAGACTGACCTGTGGGCAAGCCTGTGGTGAGTTTCCTTGATTAATGATTGATGTGGGAGGGCCCAGTTCACTGTGGGTGATGTCATCCTGGGTCCTGAGTTGTACAAGAAAGCAGGCTGGGAAGCCATGAGGAACAAGCCAGTAACAGCACTCCTCCCTGATTTCTGCCTCAGTTCCCACCTCCAGTTCCCTCCTCAGTTCCCACCTCCAGTTCCCGTCCTGACTTCCTTGATGATGGACTGTGCTGTGGAGCTGTAAGCTCAACAAATCCTTTCTTCTCCAAGTTGCTCTTGGAAACCATGTTTTATCACAGGAATAGAAAGCTAACTAAGACATACCCAACTGTGTTTATATTTGTAATTCATGAAAGTTGGATACTGAGTGAGGTGGAAGTATTCTAAGGTATTCAGAATATGTGGGAACTGGCAAATGCTCTGATTTAGAGCAATCTAAGAAGGCAGGCTATTACTCTCAAGTCCTGACTAATCATTAGGATAAAGGACAAAGGGCTGGAGAAAGAGCTCAGTTGGTAAAGCGCTGGTTGTGTAAACAGGAGTACCTGAGTTGAGTTTGAAGGTCGGGACCCATACAAAAAATAGTAGCATAAGATTGAAACTTCAGCATTGGCAGAGAAGAGGAAGGACCCCGGAGATGGCTGGCTGGCCAGCCTAGCCTACCTTGTGAGTTCCAGGGCCAGTGAAAAGCTCTGTGTCATAAAGCAAGATGGATGGCATCCTGGAACATGACCCTCAAGGCTGACCTTAGGTCTACACACACACACACACACACACACACACACACACACACACACACACACACACAAACATGTGCACCTGCATATACACACAAAAGCATATAATGTTTGATTTTAACTATATTAACACTTCTATAAAGGAAGCTCTTCTCACATTATACTTTAATTTTCCCTATTTACATTAGGACTGGCCAGATTTATAACCATGTTTTTATTGAATAACCGTCATTTTCATTCTTTCTCAATGACTTTCTCTTCTGTTAGTTAAATAGTTAACTCTCTTGCCTTTACTTCTAGATCTAACATACTCTCTATAGTTTTCTCCCTTGTTAAACGGCCTTCTGTGATTTGTTCTTTGGCTATCTTTGAAGTCATTCTCTAACATTTTTCTTGCTCTTTCCCATTCTGAGTCTGAGTCTTGTGACTTTTACACAGTCTGTTCTTCCCATCTCTCCTGGCTCTTCTTTTCAGAAGCTTGTTTTTATGGAAGTCACTTTGCAATTCACTGGAAATGACACGGAGATTCTCCTTTCTTATTCCAGCCATTCCTTAAGCATTTATTTAGCAGCTGCATTTTCTCAGGAAGGGTCTAAATACCCGGGGTGGATCAGGAAGTGAAGACTGCAAGGTTTTACTTCCCAGGCTGTGTCAGGGCATCCAGTACAACAGGAAGTAGTGAGTTACACGGTGTGTTAGAGGATGGTGTGTGATACAAGTGGAAAAGGTAAGGGGAACTGGACAGTGTGGGCAGGTGTGGTTTTTTTTTTTTTTTTGTTTTGTTTTTTAGTAAGTGGTGAGTGTTAAGGGTTGCTGGGAAAGTGACATTTGAACACGATACAATACAATTTGAATACAATAAGGTGATTAGCAATGTTTGTGGCAGTGTAGGTGCAAAAGACCCAACAGGGAGCCAGCCAGCAGGTTCAATGACCAGTTCCAGGTAGGTAAAACAGAATGACAAACGGGGTTGTAGGAAGTGAGACCAGAGTTAATGGGGCTTAACCACTGCTGTGGTGACTGGCTTCCTTCTCTTGGAGTGAGGACCCTCTGCAGATTTCCCCGGAACTCACCTGTAGACGTGAATGTGAAGCAGCTGGACGGATCTTCCAGGTCTCCTGTGTGCAGTGTGACCGGCTCTCTGGAAACATAAGAACAGTGTGCCGGTTAGTTCTGCCAATTCGACCGGACCGAGTAACACCTAGGCGATTATCAAGGCAGACCGCAGGGCTGGGGCGTCTCTGACGCTTCCAGAGATGGTTAGCTCATGCAGACTCCGAACAGATGGTACCGGAGGAGGCAGAGCCTGGTCATGAGAAGGAAGCCGATGGAGGCGTGGCTTTGAGGATCCCTTCCAGCATTCTCCCCAAGTCTACTCTCCTCCTGTCATGGAGTTCTGTCCAAGCACAGCCTGAACACCATAAGCCAAAATAAAATCTTCTCTCTCATGCTGTTTCTTTCAGGTAGAGGAGTTAGTGAAACTAATATAAATGCCAACGCAAAGATTTTCTTTCTAAGGGACAGTACAGATATATGGACCAAGGCAAGCCAATACACACAAATGTGGTGGCTTGAAATATTAACTCAAGATACCCGGTCATAACTGTAAGTTGTAGAGGTTCTGAAATACTGTAATGGGAAGCCCCAAATTATCTTACAGTTTTGCATTCAGTACTTAAGAATGATTTTTTTTTTCCTTTTTGAGCCCGGTCTCTAGCCTAGGCTGGCCTACAGCTCCCTGTGTAGCTGAGGATGACCTTGAACTTCTGAACCTCCTGCCTCTACCTCCTGACTGCTGAGGTTAGAGGTGTGCACCACCATGGCCGATTTATGAGGGGCTTTGTGCATGCTAGGCAAGCACTCTATTAACTGCTGAGCCAAATCCCCAGTCCACTCACTACAATACTGTAGAGCAAATTATATTAATAGAATCTTGGTTAGAAAATTAATTTTTGTGCAATAACAATTATAAATACAAATCATTTTCTCATGTGTTCTATAAGTTGCAATTTTAATCAGTCATTTAAAAGTGAAGCCGGCTGGCTGGGTGCGGTAGCACACACCTATAATCCCTGCACTTGGGAGGCTGAGGCAGGGGAATCTGAGTTCCAGGCCAGCCAGGGTCACATGACAAATAACAAGGAAGGAAACAGAAGAAACCAAAGAGAGTAACAAGAATTCCGAATTAGAAATTCAAGTTTACAAGACACGGCCACATCGGTAGGTTCCGGGTCGGGTCTGAGACTCGGGGTGGCTGAGGTCACAATGACTGCCGCTGTCACAAGGGGACGCCATGAGCTTCGTTTCACTGCTGTGCAAGGTTTTATTCATAGCAGTCATTATGCAGGACACAAATGAAAGAGATGACCGGTGGAAGTGCAACGCTGGAGGTTACTTTACCCATTTCATAGTAATTTTGAGTAACTGGAGAACAACAGTGTTGGGGGTCGATGTTTAAGAATGAAACTACAGCAAAGGAAAATGTATGAGGGCAGCCGGGTGCCTCGGCAGCGGAAGGCGCTTGTTCCAGGCCATGGTGACCTGAGTTAAATCCCTGGGCATACAGTGCAGGGAGAAAACCAGCTCACAGGCTGTTCTCTGATTGCCACACAAGTGCTCTGGCACATACATACGCGCGTGCGCACGTGAGAGCACACACACACACACACACACACACACACACACGTAATGAATGTGAAAATTTTGAAAGGAAAACTGACTTGTTACACACTTTCCGAGTCTCAGTCTCTGAAGAGCATACAGTGGAGTTCCCTGGAGGCTGTACTGACAGCTGGTTATCACAGTAGAGTTTATGCAAAAGCAGATGTGAGAATCCAGATGTCTTTGGCTATGCTAATTGTTCAGTGGTACAGCAATATCTTCTCAGTGAGTTTTTCATAATAAATAAGTATTGACAATTTCATTAGTAAGAAACAGGTTTTTCTAGTCACAGAGAAACTCCAGGGGAGCTTTGGTTAGCTCGGGAAGTAACTCTGCCCCATGCCTGTGACTGGCATGTCCCCAGGTAGTTCCTGGAGTAACCAGAGGCAGGACACAGGAGTGGCCACAAACACACACTTGAAGCCAGTGTGGCTCGAGTTCAATGTGGCCTTCAGAGTTGACAAGCTGAATGACCCTGGCAAATGGCTTCAACAATCTGAGTCTTCATTTCTAGCCTAAATATAGGAAAATAAAAGCCTCCACATAGATTAGTCAGACAAAGGGAGATAACTCTTAAGCAAGCAGAACACAGAAGGGATGAAATTATAATGTAGTTATTATTCAAAGGTACAGAGTGGTACTATATAGCCAAGCAAGGAGGAAATCAGCACATCTTTTCTGCTTAAAAGAAAAGACACATTTACAAAGACTCAATGTGTACTGTGCTCAAGAAGCAGACACAGAAAGTCCATATGACATTGCCTTGATTCAGTCACTGAAATATATTTACTGAATGGTTACTTGGTAGGCACTGTGCTCCAGTGCTGAGGACACAGGAATAAGGAAGCCTGTCCTTAACTGTCTTAGGGTCTCTACTGCTGTCATGAAACGCCAAGACCAAAGCAACTTGGGGAGGAAAGGGTTTCTTTAGCTTACACTTCTGCATCACAGTTCATCATCAAAGGAAGTCAGGACAGGAACTCAAGCAGGCCAGGAACCTAGAGCCAGGAGCTGATGCAGAGGCCATGGAGGGGTGCTGCTCACTGGCTTGCTCTTCATGGCTTGCTCAGCCCACCTTCTTATAGAACCCAGGACCACAAGCCTTGGGATGGCACCACCCATAATGGCCTGGACCCCATCAATCACAAATTAAGAAAATGTTTCACAATCTTGCCTCCTGCTGGATCTCATGGAGGCACTGTCTCAACTGAGGCTCCCTCCTCCTGATGACTCCACTGTATCAGCTGGCAGACTGGCCAGAACATCCCCTAAGATTTAAGCACTTCCACGTATGTAATCATTTCACACTCTAGAGATACGAAGATGGTTATGGATCATGAAAATGGAAAAGATTAAGGATTTTCTATATGTATTCTATAAACACACATTATAATTTTATACAACTGGAGGGTCAGAACCCAAATCTGTCTGCTCAGTGTTGTGCCCAGATTGTAAACCCCAGAGAGACCACCAAGGACGAGCATACCAGAATGCAAAAGCAAGGTTTATCTGTTACAAGTCCTGACAGGGAACTCAACTCAAGCCATCTCAAGTGAGGCAGAGAAGAGTTATTTTTTCTTGGGGAAGTTATTTTTTATAGGCAAAACCCATAAAATTTCTTAGAGGGGAGGGGGTTAGTACGGGTCTATCCTTGATTGGTCCAGTTTTTCCTGGGCCTGGACTTTATCTTATTCTAGCTTATCTGTTTGCCCTGTCAGGAGTTTTACAACTCCTCTCCAGGGTCTGGTCATGTTATCTCCAGAGAGGTTACCATCAGACATCCTGACTCTGTTCTTTTGTTCCTGGGGCTGGTGCCATCATTTCTGGGGACTTGAAACTGGCCTGGGTCTATCTATATT